GCTCTACTCTGAGTCCCTCCCGGATGACTGAGCTTCTCACCCTATCTCTAAGGGAGAGCGTGTAATTATGTTTAATCAATTAGCAAAGGCAGTTGCATCTGCAAAATACTTAAGTGCATTATTTTAATGTAAAATATAGCAAAAGACAGAGAGTCATTTATTATTTGAGCCAACTCCTAAGGAGTATTTAGTACTTCAGACAAAAACAAAGTGAGGAAGTTCCCTTTAGACTCAAGTCAGCTGTTTGTTTCACTTCCACTAAAACCAACATCTTACATGTTTTTTTCCTTCAGGATTATTATTGTAGTTCAGCCTCTTTTCTTCGTGTTAAAGTTATTAGGATTGCCATGCGAATGGCAACCCTGTTGTGACCCAAACCGTAGGTCATACCCCTATAAAAGTTATATCAAAACGATCAGCTCAGTCTCAAAATGTGTGCTATTACTTTTCTTTACACTCACTCTTACCATGGTGACGTAATTCGCAAAAAAATAAAAAACACAGTTAAAATCACCATGGAACATCAAGGTTCTATAACTTCCATATTCAAGGTCACAGCTGCATGATCATTTCTGTGAGTCATACCATACAGGCACTCGTCACACTCATGTGGTCACTTGATGACATCATCTTAGCCCCGCCCCCTTAAAACAGGAAGTGCCTTATTTACCGGCTCGGTGTTTATCTTTGCACTGACTCRTACAGATTTCTACCTGTGTCTGGTGACACAACTACTTGATGCTACATGCTGCTGCGTTCCATTTACATCRTATTCCTGGAACCGGTAAATGGTAGTGATGTCATTTCCCAACAAACCATAGGAAACTGCRTTCCAGTTAGCCGACAGGCGATTGTGTTGTTGCTGACCACCTAGCTGCAACACTGCTACATTATAAACAATGACCAAAGAGAGCTCTGCTACGTATGTCATGTAAATAAACATTGATTTTAACACGTACAGGATTGCACAGAAAACACACTACTTGTGCGAGTGATTAAACATAAACAAAAAAAATTAAAGATAATTAACAGTAAAAGTTAGAATTTACTTTCTAAAGCTGCGAGTAGCCGCCATCTTGAAATCGAAACTGGGAGCAGTTTCATTTCTTCCACTATACGAGTGGAATATTACCACTGGACGGAGCGTTCCAGTTTAAATCTACCAATGGCAACTGGGAAATTACCACTTCCCGGGACTACTGGAACACAACATTATGTCAGCACTGACTGTTGGCTGGATAATGTGGGCGTGACCGAGTGGTGAATGATGATACCTCTCTGTTTGGATACGTTTGGCTCTAAATCACACATACATGATCCGATTTGCTCCAAGCTGGAAATCTATGATCTTTATTAACCTCTGAAGAGGCCTTTAGGATTACGTTGGAGTTTGACTCAACGGCGCCATCTAGAATAGATAAACAGTTATTGCTCTCTGATACATTATCCAATCTGCACCAAATTTGGTTTGTGTAATCRCTAACCACTGCTAGTGACACTGAGATGACTCAAAACACTAAAATGAYRTGTCGGCCATTTTGAATATGAGTTTTGAGTTGTCAGCCCTCCTAGGCCCCTTTTACAGAGTTTTTGGTGGTTTTGATGGGTTTCCAACCATTCGGTTATGTTATTTTTTTTCTTTTTGCCACATTTAGGGGTTTCCTACCAATTGATTATGTTTTTTTTCCCAGTTTTAGTTGCTTTTGAGGTGTTTCTGACCAATCCATTTAGTTTTTTTTATTTTTTATTTAATTTTTTTTATTTTTTTTGCCACATTTCGGTGTTTCTTACAAATCAGTGCTGTGTATTTATTTATTTATTTTTTCAGTTTTAGGCTGTTTTAAAGTTTTTTTTGGCTCTACTACACACCTTCAACATGATTTTTGATGGTTTTTGGTGGTTTTGAGAGGTTTTTGTCCCTCTTAAGTCAGTTTCTCCAGGTTTTTCGTGATTTATCTGACAGTTTTGTAATTTAATTCATCACACTCACGTGGTCATTTGGTGACATCACCTTAGCCCCGCCCCCTCAAAACAGGAAGTGATTTATTTACCTGCTGGATGTTTATGTTTTACACTGTGAGGAAATTAACAGAAAATCTCTTACAGTTACAAAAATGAATGGAAGTTAATAACAAAGTCCTCAGTTTGATGCAAATACAAGGATGTGTGTGTGGTGGTGGCATTCCTGTCTGGGGGTGGATAAGGATTGATCATGAGTGATTTTGTGCAGGTTGGCTGAATTATGTGGATTAAATACATCTTTAGGATGGCCTCCAAAACAAGTTTTAAACAGCAAACACAAACAGGATGAGTTGCACAGCTGGAAATCCTCTCATAGTTTCTCCAGGAACTACTCTGGTTGTTTTTCTCCTGCAGGGAGGCAGAGCGAGGAGATGAGTGCAGCTGTCCTGGCAGTCGTGTTGCTCCTCGCCGTCACTGATGTTTCTGGAGGTTTGGACTGCAGCCCGTCCGCCGCGGAGGCGAACGGCGGGCGGCGCGTCCTGTCGGCTGTGGTCGACACGCAGAGAGCCGAGCAGAGCCGGAGGCAGCACCTGGAGGCTCTGTTCGACAGGTGAGCCCTGCAGGATTCTCATTATGTCTGTTGTCGTTTTTTATTCCTATTTTACAATTTATTTCTCTTTAAAGTTTTATTTCATAAATAAAAACAGTTTGGTTCCACTGATTTGTAACTTGCAAAATCAAATAAAAGGAAGTTAAATTGAAATCATTAAAAAAAAGATAAATCTGAGGATATATGTTTGTTATAAACTGTATGTTTGATTAAAATGTTAAAGCTTCATGATTTATTGAACCAATCAGGTATGGAGAAAACGGAACCATCTCTCTGGACGGTCTGAGGCGTCTGCTCCGGAGCGTTGGGCTCGATCGCATCAGAACCATCATGGTGAAGCATCGAGAGCAAGCAGGTCATCACCATGAAGGTCACCATCATCACCACCACCACCACCACCACCATCATCATCATCATCATAACAGTGACCAGCAGCCACACAGGAACCAGTCTGAACCCAGTAACCTTACCTCTGAGAACCGGACCGAGGATCTGGACCGGCAGCTCCACCTGCAGGACCTGAAGCCCACGGTGACGGTGTCGTTGGATCAGGACGTCAGAACCACGGTGGTGAACGGCGCCCAGCTGGTGGTCGTACCACGAGGCGGAGGCTCGGACCAGTCGGGTTCTGCAGGACAGGAGACCGCCACGGTCACTGCAGCCAGAGTCAGGATGGGGGGGCGTGACCACGATGATCACACACATCTGAACCAGGGTCGACTCCAGAACCACAGCCTGGACCGGACCGAGGTACGTCCCTTCTGGACCCTGTGAAGAACTCTGGTGGGGTTTCTGAGTGTTTGTGTTTTCTGTGCAGTGCCTGAACGCCTCCCGTCTCCTCTCCTCACATGGGATGTCTCAGGAAGTGGGCGTCGGCCTGGATGACTTCAGCTTCCTGTGCCCCGCCCTCTTGAATCAGATAGACAGGAAAGCGTGCGTCGTGCACCGAGAGGTCCCCCGACACCAGGAGAGAGGTGAACATCAGAACCTTTATCTGAGGAGTCGGGTCCTGTAGAGCTCATACTCTTCATCAAAATCAGGTTTTAGCCTGAAATTACAATAAAACTCATTTTTATCTTCTATAAGAAACATTTAACTGTGGAGGACTGAAAATGTCATAATTAGAAACAACAGAAATATGTAAATATCAATAAATAWATTAATTAATACATTTAAAATGCACCAATTCAATTAAACAGGAGAACTTTGCTTCATGTTTTATCATTTAACTGACCTTCATATTTATTTTTCCAGCTTAGTTACAATGAATTATATATTTTACCACATAATTTACATTTTACTGTTTTTTTAAAAAATATGTATTTTTGTATTTTCTTTTACTTGTACATGCTGCGTCTTAAATGTTTATATTTAATTATTTTTTTTATCATTTTTCTCACAAGTCTTTTTATTTCTTTGTGTTTTTACATTTCTCTGTCTCCTCTTTTTTTTACTTTACCTTTGCATTTCTGCCTCGTTATGTAAATAAGGTGGGTGGGGCTTCTTGGGTCAGCTCCTCTCCTATTGGTCAACAKACAGGAAGKAGCAGGATCCATATGCAGATCTACTGTGCTGCTGCTGTTTAGTTTAAAGTAGGGGTGGGCGATACTGGGAATTTTGGTATCGATCCGATACAAAGTAAATACTGTGCTAGAATCGCTTGTTTCGATACCGATTCCGAAACTGGGGGCGGGGCTGTCGGCCGCGAAGATGACAGCACCTGCTGCAAAGCATGCAGGAGGAAGGGAGAATTGAGGAAGTGCAGAACTTATTACTAGTCTCATTACCAGCAGCAGAACAGCTTTGAAGATTTTCATTTGATGTTATTGTTTTTTTAACGTCTCTCCTCCGAGAAAGTTTTTCAGCTTGGTGCCTTCACATGGTTGACAAAACAAGTTTGACTGATCAAAACGGGTGTTGACATGCAAAGTGGACCATTAGCCAATCGTTAGTGCCCTGATTATCACCTATTGTTGAAAGAGTCACTCTTGCAATAACACTAATGTAAGAGGGAGACACATTGACATGGAGGAGACCCCCAGTGTTAAACGGCAGACGGCTTCTCTTCACAAATATAGCTTTCTTTATTTCTCTGTCACCCCTGCTGCTCTGATGCTGAAGCCTGTCTCCCCCCGTAGCTACAGCAGGGGGAGGGAGGGGCACTGTGCCAGAGAGAGACAGTGACYGGCAGGAAACTACAACAAAGCAAAGCATCGATTCCATTTCGCTGGTATCGATTCAATACCAAGTATCACTTGGTATTGATAGTATCGAGTACTTAAATCGATACGCCCACCCCTAGTTTAAAGCAACTGAAAAGCAACACATTGAAATAAAAAGACTTGAAAGAAAAATTGTAAAAAAAAATAAATATGATCATTAAAAGACAGAGATATATGTACAAGTAAAAACAAATAATATATATGCTTTAAAAAATGGTAAAATGTAAATTATGTGCTAAAATATATAATTTATTATAACTAAGCTGAAAAAATAAATATGAAGGTCAGTAAAATGATAAAACGTGAGGTAAAGTTCTCCTTTTTCAATTAAATTGGTGCATTTTTAATGTTTTTATTTATTTAATGGTCCATTTATATATTTCAGCTTTTATTTCTAATTATGACCATTTCAATCCTTCATATTTAATATGGTGTTCCTTAAATAAAAGAAACTAAAGAAGAAATGAGGTGAGGCCTAAAAGAGAAACAGGAATAAATCAGGCTCGAACCTGGACCTGAGACCCTAATCCTTCAGCTGATCATCGACTGGATTTCTGGTTTTCAGCTCTTGTTGGAGCTAAAACCWCCTTATCTGTCAAACAGAAAATGTTCATGTAGAAACTGAAACTGGATGAAATATCAGCCGAAGTCCAGAGACAATCTTCCAGACGACTTTGACAGAAAAGTCTGGATTATTGGAAGGAAAAGAGAAAGAAATAAGGTCTTACACATTACTGAAGTTATTTTGTTTTGGTTTGTTTGGAGCATTTATCAAAACTTTATTTTAACTGTTTCTCAGTTTGTGTTTGTTAATCCAGATTATCAGGTTTTTATCAGAAACCTCCTGAAACCAGCTCCTCTGCAGTTTTCAGATTTAATCTGATCAAATCTTTTCTTTTAGAGCATAAGCATCATAAACACGCTCACCATGGAGCCCACAACCACTCCATSCACAACCAGAGCGAGAGCTCCAGAAGCATCACAACAGGTGAGTTCAGACTGCGCTGCTGGGAGATGACAGGATTCAGAATGATTAGAAACTGGTTTGATGATGTAACTTCATGTCACAGCGTGGCTCGGCGGCTTCCTGTCCATCACCATCATCAGTCTGCTGTCTCTGCTGGGCGTGGTCCTCATCCCCCTCATGAACCGAGTCTTCTTCAAGTTCCTCCTCAGCTTCCTGGTGGCGCTGGCTGTGGGGACGCTGAGCGGAGACGCCTTCCTGCACCTCATCCCCCACGTGAGTCCACATGAGGCCCGCTGACCGTCAGGGTTGGTCCTGTTTGAGGACAGGTCTCCTGACAGTTTGTCTCCTCAGTCTCAGGGCGGCCATCATCACCACGAGGAGGTGGAGCCTCATCTCCACCAGGAGCCAGACCAGAACCTGGACGCCGTGTGGAAGGGCCTGACCGCTCTGAGCGGCGTCTACTTCATGTTCCTGATCGAACACTTCCTGACGCTGGGGAAAATGTACAAAGACAAGAAACAGAAGGTCGGTCTGAAAATCAGAAGTTTAAAATGAAAATATAAATATTTCTGAACATCTGAAGATCAAACATTTACAAACTGCATATTTTGATTGACAGTAGTTAAGAACCTGGTAAAATAAGGCCTGTTGTGTAAAACCAGATTGTGTTACAGTAACCGTGTTTYCATCAAGGCTTTTTGATGCGCATTTAGAAGTGTCGCATTACAAATGTGAAAAAAGTCAGATGGAAACGGCAAAATTTGAAAAAAATTCTCAATTCGCTAAAAAGTTTTTACGCTCACTTGAGGTGGTTTTTGGATGATTCGCAAAGTAGTTAATGTGCAAAATGGGAGATGGAAACACGTTTGCCAAATAAATTCTGACGCAGCACATATTTTACCTCACATGACGTTCAGCTGTTTCCACTTTCCTGCCACGTCCCGGATGTTATCATAAACGCGCGAAAACATTGCGTTTATTTCCCTACGTCTTTTGGCAGCGTTAAACATAGCCTGTACTAGCTGAATAGATAGAATGATTACAACTTGCCCAATAACAAGGCATTCACGAAAAACTTGCTCCATTGTCCCGAGATGATTAGCCTCTGCTAGTTAGCAAGTTTCACTTCCTGTTTACTA